AAAAAAAATACAATTTGATCTAAAAATACGAATCTCTTCTTGTTTTACTTGGTAAATTTTGGTAGTTGCTAATTTGGAAATTTGCATAATTGGGTTTCAGAGTTGTGCTTGCACCATTGACTCGACAGAGATCGTACGGTAATGTTCCTCAGCTACATGCTATCTTATACTACTCTGAGTGAACTTCAAAGGGAGGTCTTCTCATAGCAGAATCCACTGGAGTTTCTGACACTGCTCAAGGGTAACTCTACCTCAGTAGCTTGAATTGTTAAGGATTTTCTTTACGTTTTTTTTTTTTTGAACAAGAGTACATGGGGGCGGGTGAAACCCTACCCGGGGTGGGGAGAATACATCGTATGGTCAGAGACCATTTGACCCCAAGGGCCAGATGCGGATTTTCTTTACGTTTAGTCGTAAATAGAAGGAGAATTTATATATATATAAAATAAAAATCTCTTGTTTTGCAATTTAATAGGGGGAGGGGTTTCAATAATATGAGGTTTATTTATTTAATAATTAATATTGTATAATCAAATATAATTTAAATTATATAATATTTTTTTCATATAATAATATAAACATTATAATACTTTAGGCAAGTAAGACCTGATGATCCCAAATGAAACTTTAGTAATTAGGGGCATTTACCGTTTGGCTTGGTTCGTGTTTGGTTTTTAGGCTTTTTAAACAAATTAATTTAATTGATTTGAAGGAACTTTTATCCAATCCCATCGGATCAATGTATTATAAACCGAACCCCTCTAACTAAGATTGGTTTAAATTAAATTATGGGTTTTATATTTTTCTTAAAACTGCAAAACCAAACAGTATGAAGTTGCAAAATAACACAAAATTTATAAGTATACAACAAAAGTAAAAATATATTTAAAAGAAAACTAATAAATCATTATTCAGATAATGATTCTTGAAAACAAACTTAACTAGCAATATCTTATTCTACATAGAAGCCGAAACTACAAAATTCTTGCTACAAAAGCACACCAGCATCATGAACTATTTTATATTGAAGAGTTTGAAAACTGAAAAGGTTACTAGTATATAGAGTTTGGGGTTGTAGTGAACAAGTTATATATATATATATATGTGTGTAAGTTTTATATAGATACACATATTTACAATTAAAATATTTTTAAATTAATTTTTTAAAATTTAAATTTTAAACCTAACATAAAAAAGAGCACTTAATTACTCGTATGGGATTGTGAACAATCATTTGGAATAAAATAAGAAAATTATTATTTAATTATTATGACTATACCAATTTTTAAATCTTCAAAAAAAAAAATTAAAACAAACTAAAATATTTCTTTTTAGTAATAACCCCGCAACAGACAATAATAGCAGAGGGCAACGAATAAGCAGGAGAGGAACCGCAAACAACACAAGAAAAAACAAACTCAACAAACATCTCTCCATTCACAAGACTCGAATTCAAGATATTATTTAAGAGAAACCAAACTTCTTACACCCGAATTAATAAATCGTTGGTACTTAGATCTATTTTTTACTCACATGATCCAAACCTTCTACAAATAACAGTAGATTCTCTTTAAGCCTATACTTGATTTAAGAAAAATAAATGACAAAAAAGAGGAGGGATAAAAGTTTTGACCAATCATATTATAAATATTGGCCAATGTTATTAATTTGATTGATAAGAGAAAAATCATCCGTCCTTTCATCTCCCTTTTCCTAAATTAAACATAGTCTAAGAATGTGTCAATAACATTAGCCCTAATTTACCTATTATCCAAAAAAAAAAGAAAAGAAAAGAAAAGAAAAGAAAAGAAAAGAAAAGAAAAGACCATTGGTTTCTCTTCCATGTGAAGGTATCCGGAGACACCAGGTATATGGACAAAAGAGCGGGTTGAGGCATGGAAACCTATTGTTGATTCTGTTCATGCCAAAGGTGGGACCTTCTTCTGTCAAATTTGGCATGTGGGAAGAGTCTCAAATACAAGTGAGTGCTTTTCCATTAATTTCTCTCTTAAGATGGTAGAATGCTTAAATTAAGATTTTACATAATTAAGTCAATACTGGTGAGTTAGCTCAGCATTTGGTCGTTACTACTACATATAGGTTTTCAACCCCATGGGCAACCTCCAATCTCTTGCACAGATAAGCCACTAAAACCAATAGTTGGAGCTAATGGTGAAGTTGTTCAAGAATTCTCACCTCCACGGCGTTTAAGCACTGACCAAATTCCTAAAATTATCAATGATTTTAGACTTGCAGCAAGGAATGCCATGGAAGCTGGTAAGTGACTTCCTTCCCTAACCATATCCCTTACCTTTTCTTTTGCAACTTAAGTATTTAGTTCCATGTTATGTAGGTTTTGATCGAGTTGAGATTCACGGGGCTCATGGATACCTAATTGACCAGTTTTTGAAAGATCAAGTGAACGATCGAACAGACCAGTATGGTGGATCTGTAGAAAACCGCTGCAGATTTGCTCTAGAAATAGTCGAAGCTGTTGCCAATGAGATAGGAGCAGACAAGGTTGGAATAAGACTATCTCCCTTTCTAAACTTTTTGGAAACAGGAGACTCGAATCCAAAAGCATTAGCCATGTACATGGTGGAGGCATTGAATAAATATCAAATTCTCTATTGCCACATGGTTGTACCCAGAATGAAAACAGCCACTGGAGAAAGAGTGGAATCTCTTGATATTCTATTGCCCCTGATCAGAAAGGCTTTCAAAGGAACTTTCATTTGAGCAGGGGGTTATAACAGGGAAAAAGGAATCAAAGCAGTGGCTGAAAATCATGGAGATCTTGTGGCATTTGGGCGTTTGTTCCTAGCCAATCCAGATTTGCCTAGGAGATTTGAACTCCATGCTCCTCTCAACAGGTACAACATAGAGACTTTCTACACTCCTGATCCTGTTGTTGGTTACACCAATTATCCGTTTTTGGAGTACACTGCTTGAATATTTTCATGAAAGAAGATGGAGAAATGTTCCGATCTCTTATGATTAATTATCTCCATTCCATATGCAGTCATCATCTACAAAATGTTGTTTGGTTTCACCGATTGTATTATATAGACTTGCTTCATGACCATAGAATAGGATGATGTTTTGTTGTCTTTAGACCTCTATGTATTGTGTAAACAAGTTATATGAATAAAACACCTTCATAATGTCGCCCTTGTTGAATTTTTCTTGACCCTTTACTCCGTTCAGTTGTAACAGTATTTGTTTGTTGGGCAATCAAAAAAAAATAATTAGCATGGGGTTTTGAAGGAATTTGGCATAAAAGTTCATCCTTTTTGGCTACTTTCTCCAAAAAAGGCATGCTAAGTAAGTAGGAATATTCATTCTTGAAATTTAGGTGCATATGGAGCCCAATATAAATTTTGAATCTTGTTACACAGACTAACAATAAGTTTAAGAAGAATGTAATTTGTTTTAATTATATGTAAAATTGAGTATATGAGTTCCTAATATTTTTTATAATTTAAAATTTTTTCCAATGCTTTTACCTTCAAAAAATTAGTTAAGTGTGAGAAAAGTGTTAGATAATCCACAATTTTTGTACCACATAATGTTACTAATATTTAAACGAAATAATTTTGGCTCTTTAATTATTGGAACATAATGGAAGAGTATCGTATTTAATGTTAAATAGATGAAGAGATGACTCCATGAAGGAAATGAACTAGATATTATGGCCTAATGTTATTTTTATTTAAACTAAACATGGAACTAAGACATAGCATTCATCAAAGATGGCTTAAAAAATATTAATTCAAGCAGATTACTTAGCTCTTCAAAGTCAAACCTTCTTTTACTCCTTTTATCCCAAAACAATAATAGTCTGTTTTAATTTTTTTTTCTGAGTTAAGAATTTGAGTATAATTTTTTTGTCTATATTATTGTTTAAAAAGTAAAAGATAAAGGAAATTTTTTTGATAAAAGAAACAATTAAAGCCAGCAAATAACAATAAAATTAAAGTATAAAAAATAATTTATTTTTTAAAAATATAAAAAAATAACAATTAATTTAAAATAAAATTTAAATAATCCACAATTTTTATACCGCATAGGGTTATTAATATTATTTTGGATCAAAAGGATGTAAGATCCTTCCAATCCAATATTCAAATTTACTTCATTCGTAAAGCAAATTCAAATCAAATTCAATGAGTAAGATGAGAGGCTATTAAGCTAGACCCACTAAGCCGCCAAGTCCACAACGCTGATGGTCCTTCATAAAACGCGAGCCCACTTTACTAATTTTTTCGGTTGGACCAGCTACAAGGTTGATGCCAAGAACAACGATCATAACAACCAGTCTAGAAAATTTCGACATGGCAGCAATGCAATTGTTAACAGAAAATCCAGAGGAAATCACAAGAGAATATATCTACCGGAAGCTGAACTGTCTAGTGTTTTCCAATGTTGAAGAATCCAAGTTACAGGCAATTCGAGGTTGAGGTTCCTAACTAATCTTTTTGTAAAAAAAAATATATATATATATAAGGTATTCAGATATTACTTTTCATATGCTCAACACATAATTTGATCGTCTTCTAAAGTCTTTTAGCTCCCTAAAGTGATTATTTAGGCAATAATAATTGTTGATTATTTTATATTTAATTGTCCATATATACACAAAATGATTTTGTTACTAGGTGTCATTTAACTTTGTTGTTATTTAGCAATTTCTATAATCTTTGCTTTTTTTAATGAAAGTCAATTTTAATATAAAAACTACTAATTTATTGTAACTAAATTAGTTTTTGGTATTTCCAATCGGAGTATTTTTTATCAACTTTTACATAGTTTGAAATTAATTCCTTTTTAGGTGATCATGAAATGCATCTCTACATTAATTTGATACATTCAAAAAAATTATTTTTTTAAGTTCATTTGTTGATAAAAAATTTTTCTTAGATGTTGTCTTAAAACTTGAATTATGAATTTGACTTATAAAATTATACTTGTTTACTAATAGATTTATTTTTGAAATTAATTCATTATAACTAATTAGTAAAGCTATAAAATGAAAATTGATCAATAAAAGCTTAGCAAAGTAAGTAATCACTTCTTCACTTGGATTTGAATAAAGTTAAGAGTTTAAACATATACTACATAATATTAAGAACCAACGCCCTAGGCATCCAACAAACAACGTAACTTCCTATGGGAAAAAAAAAAGGATAAAGTAAAAGAAATTTGAAAAAAAAAAACGTATTTGTTTTTACAATATCTAATATTTTTAAAATTAAAATGAGTTGGAAGAGAAGTTAGGGTAGTGAAATCCTAAGCAGTCATTCTCTTTCTCTTCTTTCACCCAACTCTTTTTCCCATCTTTTCGACCCTCTTCCCCTCTTTGTTCTTTCATTCTTTGTTTCCTTCTTTCTCCATCTCTCTTTGTTTTTGCTTTTTTAACCCAGGTTCTTTGTCAAGATTCCTTTGAACCACAGGCATTGGAAATTTCATACCTCCATCGATGGTGACCCGAGGGCATTCATATTGTTTTCTTTTTCTCAATCCATATAGCGTGGTTTCGTTAT